TGTTTCTAACCTGCTTGTTCCCTGATCTTATCAGTTACCCTTAGCTCCTCAATGCAGACCCCAAGGCAGAGCCTGGGGTATGGGCCCATCTGTGAATCTCCAGCCTCATCTTTCAGCTACAGATTAAAAGTCACTCCCTTTGAGAAGCCCTCCCTAAGCCCATCCAGGCTGAACCCGGTGCCCCTCTTCTGTGCTCCCAATGCCTCTCACCATTCTTGCACACCCCCTAACCGTGTTGTCTGTTGTTTTTGTTAGACCCCAAAGACAGGAATTTTGTGCATCTATCCTGTTCTCTAGTCTCCAGTAGTTGACTCAGCACACAGTAGGTCTTCAAGGTATTACTGCGATGTTCCCAGGAAGACAAGGGAGAGACTGAGACTGAGGAACCCAGCAACTTCCAGGGAGTGGAGGAATGAGGCCTGTGGGATGCCACTGGACACCCTTCTTAAGCTCTCTGTGCCTCATGTACCCATCTGTAAAATGGGATTAATATGAAGATTGTGCAGGGAGTACAGAGACTGATGTGTGGGAGCACTCAGTGTCAGCTACTGTGGTTGGGGTGGTTAGTTTTACAGGTGGGGACATGGAGGCCCAGGGAAGAAAGTGCCAGCTCCACAGACACAAGGCTAGAAAAGGCTTTGGCCTCCAGTGCCTGCCTCTTTTCACTCTACACTCCAGGTTGTCTCCCCCTGACTGTTCCACTTGTTCGGTCAATAAACAGTTCCTGGATGCCTGCTGTGTGCTAGGCCCCAAGCTGGGTGTTGTACAATGATAACTAAGAAGCTGCTCGGTAGGGTGTGCTGGATAAAAGATTGTGAACACTGGTGCGAAATCCTCTGGGCTCAAATTCCAACTTCACCTCCTGGCTATTTGATATTGCTAAATTCTCTAACTTCTCTGAGCCTGTTCCCTCCTCTTGAGGAAAAAAAAAAAAAGGAAAAGGACAGACATTCCAGCGAGATAACTGGGATCTTGCACGGCTCAACACTTAATGGGTGTCAGTCTTTATTATCTTCATCATCACATCTCTTGAATAGCATATCAATAACGCATAGGGTAGTATGTTCCTCCTCTTTGCCCAGGTAGCCAAGGCTCCATTTTCCTCTTTTGGCAACTACAATTTACCAACTTTTTGTGTGTTTATTACCAAATACATACGTTCTTTTACACAAACGGTAGCACCAATCAACCAATGCATGCTATTCTTTGTACCCCTTCCGTTTTTCATCTAATGAACTGTATCTTGGAAGTCGTTCCATATTACTGCATATTGACCTTTATTCCTTTTCAGAGGTTGCACAGCATTCCATTGTGTGGACCGACTATAATTATTGTTTAACTTAGCTGCAGTTATCATTATCGGTATGGGAACTTTGAGGACCTGGGAGAGCAGGAGTCTGAAGACTTTGTTCTTAGCCCTGTTTCGCCCCGGATTCACTGAGTTACCTTGGGCTTTACTTTCCCCATCGTACGATCGCAGCAAGCGGAATGTGGGTGCAAAGACCAGTCTAACTGGTTCCCAGCGTTCGAGTGCGGGTCAGAGAGAAGCGCAAGCAATTTATTCCCGCGGGCGGCGCGCTAGGTTCCTCTCTCAACACACCCACTCCGGTATACTAGCAGCAAACACCCCAGCACAATCAAGCTCGAGACCGTTATCAAGCCTTCTGGCCTCGGTACCTCCACGCGCAGGCACCAGTTACTCACCCCCGCCTTGGCCGCTTCACCACTTGTCCCCAAGCGAGCCCTAGAGGTTACTGTTGTCCCTGTCCCTTTAAGGGGGCGGAATCCGGGCTCCGCTACTTCCGCCCCGAAGCAACATGGCGCCTACGGTGAAGGCGCGGAATAGGGGTGAAAGCTCGGAGAACTATCCCCCGACAAAGATGGGGACGTCCTCGCCGCCGTGTTAGCGCGCCGGCGGTGACGTCACTTCCGGGGAGGAGCCCGACTGGTGCAGTGAGGGACAAACAAAAGGAGGCGCCGGAGGAGCGCAGAGGCGGGCGGCGGGACTGAGCCGAGGGGTGTGGGGTCTGCGGCTGGGCGGTCAGGAGCGGAGCGCCCAGGTGAGTAGGTGGAGTGGGGAAGGGGGCGTGAGCTGCAGCTCTCGAAACCCACTCATAAACGCCCCCGGCCAGCTGTCCAGCCTAGGCGCCCCAGACAGCGCCCGCTCTGCCCTCTGGGGCCGTCTCCCTAGTGGCCTCTTGCGGCCGCTCAGCCAGGTCTACCTTCAGCCTCCCTTATCACCCTGGTCTTCGGGA